TAATTAACTGAGATGGTGGGACAACATTGGCCAGGGGCCAGGTCTGGTCTCTGATATTAGGTTATATAAATTCCATCTCATTAGCCAAAAATGCCATTCAGAATGTTCTTGACATCTCCAAAGACATATAGCCATTTTAAGCCCAAAATGAACTTACTATAGTTTGACAATCTGTAGAATTTTTGGCAGTATTAAAACAAAACCAAACAAGTGTGGCCTATGGAGTAGCAGGGAGTAGCAGGGTTTCTGTCATGTTTGTTGTATGCATGGGTTATGGAAGTGAGGGAAGAGCTAAGATGGTAGGGGTATGCTGAGTGCCACCCTAAGGCCTTTGCAAGAGGGCCCTACCCTGGGCCTCACCACAGGCAGCCCCCTCTGGCCCTCTTCAGTTGATCTCCTCTTGTGAGCTGGTGGTCCTTGAGGCCAATGGAATGTGCCGGCAGGAGCCTGCTCCCCACCTCTGCCTCCTGACCATGCTGTGGATACCAGGGGCTGCAGGACGTCCTGCCCAAAGGTCCCAAGCCTGCTTCCAGGTGTGCCTCTTTCCTGCATCCATTCTCCAGGGGGTGATCGTGGGAGTTGGGATGTGCAGGCTACGGTGTTCACACAGGTATGCATGAGGCCCCTCATAATGTAGGACAGAGATGGAGTAGGAAAAGATGGGAGGTGGGTCAGGGCTTCAGGCCTGGTTCTCTCTATCTTCATGGAGTGAGAGAACTCTAAATTCAAACCTGACCTTCTAAGACATTATAAAGTATATTCACTGTGATAAAAGGTTTGAACATGCTTTATTATTATTGTTATTATCTTGATGGAAACCCTGGTGGCATAGTGGTTAAGAGCTACAACTACTAACTAAAAGATCAGCAGTTTGAAACCACGAGGAGCTCCTTAGAAACTCTATGGGGCAGTTCGACTCTGTCCTGTAGGGTCGCTACAAGTCAGAATTGACTAGACGGCAGTGGGTTTGATTTTATTATCTTGAGGTATAAATGCAGATGTCAGGCCTGGACGTGACCTCCATAGTTGGTCTTAAATGGTGAACAGAAGTGAACCAGGCCAAGCTTGGGCTTCTTGGTATAAGGGAGAGTGGGGGCCACTACCGTAGTTATGGATGAGGAGAGAGCATGGTTCTCAGAGGCCTGATGGTCTTTCCCTATGAAAATGGAGAGTGAGAAATGTAGGGAGCGCAGTTGGAACCAGACCCCAAAGGGCCTTGAGAGCCTGCAAGGAGGTGGAATATCTCCCTGGCGTGGGGAAATGTTGGAGCTTATAGTGACACAGCCAGAGTCTTTCTCCTCAGCTCTCCTCCCTTTCTCAAAGCAAATAAAAGGAAGGGGGAGAGGGAAGAAGAGAAAGCTTGCAGAAACAAAGTAACTGAGACATTTTGTCCTCTTTTGGTCATCCCTAACATAATTACAGAGTCCCTGAGTGAAACAAACAGTTAAGCACTTGACTACCAACTGGCAGTTTGAACCCACCCAGAGCTGCCTCAGATCTGCTTCTGAAAGGTCACAGCCTTGAAAATTCTATGGAGCACAGTTCTGCTCTGCCTACATGGGGTCTCCATGAGTCAGAATAGAATTGACTCTTCGGAAACTAACAACAACAACAACAGGAGGGAAATACAGTGTTTTTGCAGGGGAAATGGCTGGAATCGTGTTGTCAAAATATAGTGGATCGATACAGTTTGGATGATAAGGGCAGAGGAAGGGAAGACTACCAGGATTGGAATGGAAAATCCAGTTTAATGAGGGGAAATGGAAGATCCAAGCAGCAAAAATAAGTTGAGGGAAAGAGCAGGGACAACAGTGTAAAATAAGTGATGACTGGGGGGATCTCCCAGCCCCTGCCTCCCCTTCCCTATCCCTTAGAGGCCACTGCCTGGAACCAGTCTGACCTCATCTCAGGTGGGACCTGGCTAAGAGTAATGGTAGGAGGAGAAGGAGTCTTAAGCAAAAAGGCCTTCTCTTTGCAATCCAATGCAATCTACTCCAATCCAACCCAACCCAACCCAGTGCAACCCAGCCCAACCCAAGGCAGCCCAATGCAACCAATACCATACAGTGTGATCCACTTCACCCCACTCTACTTCACTGCAATACAGTTCTTGATCTCTGACTGGGCACTAGGTGCAGAGCAGGGATGTGGATGCGACTGAGACCATCTCATACTGTCCTGCCCTCAAATGGAGTCTATTACAGGGAGAGGTGTCCTTCAGGAGCACTTGCCTTTGGAAGCCTGTGTATGCAGCTGCAGGTGGCCAGACACATGGCCTTCCCTCAGACTTGTCCTCAGGAGAGAGCCAGATTCCCAGGTCGGCCCTGGGCACCCAGGGCTGTTAAAAGGCTGGTGGGCACAGCATTGGAGAGGCTGCAGCTGAAGGGCTTCCCTGTTAAGAAGCTGGTGAAGGAGATAACTTGAACTTGGACCTCTAGGTGTTTGCTTCTAGGTGCTGAGATTTCTGGGGACATTGCAGCTGGGGGTGGGGGTGGATATTGGGTCACAAAACAGCATGTGCAGATTGGAGGAACAAAGAAGAAAAGGTTATACCTTTAAAACACAGTGTGTTACTTTAAATAGGAGCCAGATGTTTCCTTGGGGCTACTTTCAGAGAGTAAGACAGTGCTTTACACTTTCCAGCACAGACAGTTGTTAGACCTTGCCGTTGGCACTGGCACCTCCTGGGCCCCCAGGCTCTGTGTGCAGTGAGAGCCTTGTGGTTGGTCCTCTTGAGTGGCTTTGCAATTCATTCTGTCTTGTCTTATCAGGTCATTCATTTATTCATTCAGTAATCCATTGAGTCATGTATTCCTGACCTGCCAAACGCAGGAAAAGGAACACAGAAAAATAAACATAATACCCCTTTCTTTTCCATGAAAATTTTGTTGTTCCCTCCTGCTTTTCTTTACCACTGTATGCTTCCACCAGGGGCACATAACTTAGTTATCATAAGTTGCACCTTCTTAGTGGAAATACAGAAAATTTTGAAAATATTAAACTACAGAGTAAAATACCTTTGTGCTAATTAAGTCATTGAGAGCAGTGGTCTTCAAACTCTTGATTATACACCCCTAGCAGTAAAAAGGAAACCCTGGTGGTATAGTGGTTAAGAGCATTGGCTGCTAACCAAAAGGTTGGCAGTTCAAATCCACCAGGTGCTCCTTAGAAAGCCTATGAGGCAGTTCTACTCTGTCCTTTTGGGTCACTATGAGTCGGAATCAACTCCACGGCAACAGTTTTTTTTCTGTTTTTTTGTTTTTTAGCAGTTAAAAAAAACCCTTTAATTGTAAATACAGTGTAATATAATACAGTATGTTTACTTCTAAGTATACATGTATGGCTTTACAAATATAGTATGTACAGTGTGCAGTATACACAAAAATGAAATTTTAAGAAGTGGACGAGTTGAAAGAATAGTGAATAGTGCTGCATGCATGTTTTGGGTACAGCTGATTCTTTAACATGGTGGAGATTGGAATTGCCTGATCACTCTGAAAATCTTGATTCCAGCCACTGCTTCAGGTAGTGGAATTGTCTCCTTGTTCTGAATGGGTCTAGTCTGAGCCATTAGAGGTTTGGGGTCAGGGCTTCAGGAAGACGACGGAAGTCAGTTTATAGCCCCCTGCGACAGTCTGGGCAGGGGCTGGTCAAGCCTGGACCCAGGAGGCAGGGGTGAGGTTGGGGAGCTTCTGCAGGATGAGGGACAGGAAGAGGGGATGAGTCTGGGCATCTTTGCACAGAGAAATGAAGGACTGCTCTTTTCTCAGGCATACCCAGTGGGGAGGGGTCTGCGGTCATGGGTCCAGGTGATTTGTGGAATGGTCTCAGTTAATCCCTACACAGCTGCAGACTGGGACGGCTGTTATCCCTGCTTCAATGCGGAGGAGACAAACATGACTTGCCTAGGAAGTAACGGCTAGTGCGCTTCGGCACGAGATGTGAACCCAGGTGTCCTGGCCCTTGCCGGAGCTCGCCAACACATAGCTGTGTATCTGAGGAGAGTGTATACACTGACTCCTACCTCGTTTTAATCTCTGCAGTTTAGAGTTGGTTTAGGCTTTGTGTTGGTATCACTTCAGGAGATCATGTCTTGCTGACCCCTGAAATGTTTTTAGAATTTATGTTCTATCCTTTTATTTCACATTGTGGGAGCCCAAGTTAAGATACAAGGGCAAGACCCCAGGGTTTTCCTCTCACCTCTTCCAGTGACCATTTGGACAGACCTCTCACTGTCTGAGCCTCAGTGTTGCTACTTCTGAAGTGGTGGTCATAATTCTTACCTGTCAGGTTGCTGGGCATACCTCCTGAAACAGTGTATACACGGAAGGGTTATAAAAACCGTAAAGTAATTATAACCTGACGCTTTTCTCCCTGTTAGATAGGCTTAAAAAAAAAAAGAGTAGGTAATTGAGAATTCCCTGAAAGTAAACACCAACAACAATAATGGTAATAATGGCTGACATTTATTGAGTACCTGCTATATATAACCCTGGTGGCATAGTGGTTAAGAGCTTGGCTGCTAACCAGAAGGTTGGCAGTTCGAATCCACCAGGTGCTCCTTGGAAACCCTATGGGGCTATTCTACTCTGTCCTGTCGGGTTGCTATGAGTCGGAATAGACTTGACAGCAACAGTTTGGGGTTTTTTTGGTTTTTGCTACATACTTGAGAAAAGCACTTTAGATATGTCTAGTGACTATTCACCTCCTTGCCCTGGCTGGAGGGATACCCCTGCTGTCCCACCAGGGAAGCCCCTAAGCCCCTCCTGTTGTCAGTTAATGGAATTGTGTCACTTGGAGATCAGAAGTCATGGGGTGGAAATGTGCTGATGTGGTGGGGACACTTCGGAGGTGATAAAATGGGCCAAGAGTTAAACAGTGTTTGACTTACCATTTATGATTAAGCCACAGAGCAGCTGTCATTGTTCCTTGTCTGTGGTGCATGTGAATGTGAGAACTGGTAGAAGGAACCTCATACAGCCCGCTCTTGTTATTCGCAGGCTTCTGGGAGCTCCTCGCCCACAGCGCCGCTCTGCCAGCATAGAAACTCCAGGTGAGTCCATGTCCCAGATCCTTCTTCAGTCTCCCCGGGGAAGCCGTTTCGGGTGTTAATTTATTCTGTGGTAGTTGCTTTTTTAGTTTTAAAAATAAGTGCTCAAAGGTGACACTTTATGACCCTTTTCCCGGATGTGGTCTCATTTAGACATTAGACTGGTAAGTGGTTTGATTGTAAAAGTAGAACTTTTAGAGGGGGTGGGATGAGGAAAGGAAACCCTGGTGGCGTAGTGATTAAGAGCTATGGATGCTAACCAAAATGTCAGCAGTTCAGATCCACCAGGTGCTCCTTGGAAACCCTATGGGGCAGTTCTATTCCATCCTATAGAGTCGCTATGAGTCAGAACCTACTTGATGGCAATGGTTAGGTTTTGATTTTTGGGAGTGAGGAGAATAGCAGAATTGACTGTAGCCTCTAAGGCGAGAGCCCCCTGCCACCTTCAGTGGAGATGCCTCGAGAGACTGCCCTTGGCCAGGAGTCCCTCTTTGTGGATTATGTTTGGCTTAGGAGACACATTATTTTTTATGTATCAGTGTTCAAAAATATAATTTGGATTTTAAAAATAATCAGAATTCTTTTGTGACCATGTCTAAAGTAGACGAAAAAAACGGATAATTGTTTGGATCCTGATTTGAACAAATGCACTGTGTAAAATAAATGCACGATATGGGATACTTGATGATGTAAAGGTTCTTTAAAGTGTGATAAGAGCATTATAGATATTTTTAAAAGTATTCTTTTAGAAATAAACACAGAGTATTTGTAAATGAAATGTTATATCAGGGATTTACTTCAAAAAACTAAGTAGTGGAAGAAATATTTGGAGATATAGGTGGGAATAAGCTGGCCATGTGTTGATAATTTTGAAGGTGGATGATGGGTAAATCGGGATTTATTGAAGTATTTCTTTGTTGTTGTTTTTAAACTTTTTCATAATTAAAAAAATAAAAAATAATAATAGGAGCAATAAAAGAAAAAAAATAAAAACAGGCCTGGTGGTCCCTTTGATGAATGGAACAAAGCAGCCACATGCTCTCCTGCCTCCCTTCTCAGGCTTTGCTCCTTGCTGTTGCCATCTTGGAGCCCTGGTGGCACAGTGGTTAAAAGCTCGACTGCTAACCAAAAGGTCAGGAGTTCGAATCTACCAGGCACTCCTTGGAAACCCTATGGGGCAGTTCTGTTCGGTCCTATAGGATTGCTGTGAGTTGGAATCGACTCAGTGGCAATGGGTTTGGTTGCCATCTGGCTTTTGCCCCTTGGCACCTCCCCCAGAGCCCTTCCTCCGCCTACTCTGGGCCCATTGTCTCCACTCCATCCTGATTCTCTTAGCCCTCACAGCCTCTCCTGGGATGGTGCTCTGGCCCTGTGATCCCCAACAGCTTGCTGGTGGCTTCATGTATGTCACTGGGCCTCATCCCTTCTTGTTAGCAATACTGGGGTTCAGGTCCTACTTCTTTCCCCCGTGATGTGCTCCTGGGGGACAGGGCCAGCATATTTACAGTCACCACCAGCACCTCAGAACTTGGACCCAAGGTGGCTGCGCCAGACCTGGGGTACGCAGCACTCTGCACAGCATCTCCACGAAGAGGAGGCTGCCACCTGTCTTGTGCCTGTCAGCTCATCCCCCCGGCTTTTGTTCCCCCAGGGTTGTCTTCCCTGGTTGTTAAGCTAAAATATGCATATTGGAAATTATTCAAAAAAGGCAGAAAATGTGAAGAACATGTAAAAGTCATCTGTAAGCCACCCATATCCTTCTAAACATTTTCTTCCTGTGCATGAAACATGAACACACACATTCACATCCACATCCACACTTCAGAGAAGGGGATGTTGCTCTATCATTTTGTAACTTGATATTTATGAGTTTCTGTATTCCCACTGGAGTTCCTGGGGGGTGCAAATGGTTAACACCCTGGGCTACTAATTGAAAGGAGGTTCAATTCCACCCAGAGGTGCCTGGGAAGAAAGGCCTGGAAAATCAGCCATTGAAAACCTTATGGAGCACAGTTCTACTCTGACACACACAGGGTCGCCATGAGCCAGCATCTTTTTTTTTTTTATATTCTCACTGAGTTTCATTCAGTCTGTCTGTCTATCTATCTATCTACTCATATTCTACATATCTATATCAATATCATTGTTTCAAGGGCTGCATAACGTACTATTTCTCTAACCAATCCCTGTTGTGGATATTGAGGTTGTTGTCTTTTTTTGCCTGACAATGAACTGCAGTGAATCTCATTCCAGTTACATATCAGCTTATTTTTGACGGACTCTGCTAGAACATTGCTCAGAATGGTTTGTGGTCAGGCTTGGAGGCAGGACAGCCTTGTGAGAACACAGCTCTGTGGCTGCATTCACTCCAGGCTGTACCTCTCCCTGAGAACACAGCGCTGTGGCTGCATTCACTCCAGCCTGCACCTCTCCCTGAGAGCACAGCTCTGTGGCTGCATTCCCTCCAGCCTGCACCTCTCCCTGAGAGCACAGCTCTGTGGCTGCATTCACTCCAGCCTGCAGCTCTCCCTGTGGTCATAGGCCCATGCTGGCTGGAGCCCTAGGAGGCCCCGGGAGGCCACAGGGTCCTTGTGTACAAGGGAAGGAGGGCCTTGCTGGGAACCAGCAGTCAGCACTGAGCAGAAGGCTGCAGAGGCCCTTGACACAGGAGTCATGCCCAGCTCCTTGCTATCCGCCCACAGAGAGCCAGTCATCCCTAAGCCTTAAAATTCTGTGTGCTTCATGCTGGCTATTTCTGCCTTTGAGTCCAGGTCCTCCCCCCATGCCTCAGGTCTCCACCTGGATGCAGCACAGCCGCCTGGCAGGCTTCCTGCTGTGCATCCCAGGTGCCCCTGACTAGCCCGTGTGTGGGCTTTCAGCAGAGTTGTGTGCGGTAGTGAGTCTGTCTCCTCCCCGCCCCACTACCATCAGTTCTCTTGCTAGCGGAATGAGCTTCATCGATAAAAAGCCTCTTTGATTTTTCCTTCCCAGCTCATTCTCTCCTGAAGGGTCAAGTCCAGCCTCCTTGGGCCTATGGGCCGCCAGATCTGGCCGTGCCTCTTCATTGCCCCAGGAGGCTGCAGGCCCACACAAGGAGCATGTATATGCAGAAATGAGCTGATGTATACAAGATGTAAATCTTACCCTGTCTGCAGCCTTGGCCTCCTCCCATATGATTCCCTCTGCCTGGCAGCCTTCCCAACTGCCTTGTCTTTGCCCAGAAAGCCTTTCAAGCACGGATTGATGTTCCGTCCCTGCAGGGTGGGCGCCTAGGTCTTTCTGACCCTTACCGCTACTGAAACCAGGACTAAAAAACCAGTTGCCATGGAGTCAACCCCGAATCATGGTGACTCTATGTGTGTCAGAGTATAGTTGTGCTCCCTAGGGTTTTCAGTGGCTGAGTGTTTGGAAGTAGATTGCCAGGCATGTCTTCTGAGCCATCTCTGAGTAGACTCCCACCTCCAACCTTGCACCACCCAGTATTTGCCTGCTGCACCCTGCATGCTTCCTGCTGCTGACAGCTTTTTCTGTATTTCTCCCCCTTAGTAGCTTGCGTTGGCCCAAAAATGACCTTTAAGGATGTTTTTTAGATTGCATGCCATCCTGTGATTAGAAAACAGCTCAGAAAACATACCCATAGTTACATACCCTCTCCAGGTGCTGGTATGAAAATCCAGCACACTGCGTGCCTGTCCTTTTTGCCCCTCCTGGCCCCTTGTCGCTGCTTCCTGCTAAGCTCTGCTCCTGTCTCCTAGGCTGACCGCCCCAAACCCCACAATGGAGGACAGCCAGGAGCTGGACCTGACGTACATCACGGAGCGCATCATCGCTGTCTCCTTCCCTGCCAGCAGCTCTGAGGAGTCCTATCTCCACAACCTGCAGGAGGTCACGCGCATGCTCAAGTCCAAGCATGGTGACAATTATCTGGTGAGTGCAGGGAGCCTGGGCATGGGGGCGCATGAGTGTGGCAGGCCTGGGGCGGGGGGCAGTGGGGACACTGCAGGTGGTCCCAGCATGTGCAGGTCTGTGGTGTACACAGTGCTTGCATGTCCATACACCCGGGGCCTCACTTGCTCTCTGTGGCTCGATGTGAAAGGCAGGTCCTTCTGAGGTCCCTGTTTTACAAAACACGAGGCTCTGGCCTGTGCTGTTGCCACTCTCTGCCTTGCCACTGGGAGAGTGGGACTTATTTCCATGTGGGACAGTCTGCAGCACGGATGGCCACTGCCCCACTCCTGCTCAGGCCTCTTTCCCATTGCCTAAAGATTCTTCTCGGGACATTGCTGCAGGCAGGTGCTCCCCGTGGGCGGATACAGCATCCCTGGGCTCAGGGTGAACTCTGACTCTTCTCCTGAAAAATAAACGAGGAAGACAAAGGAATGGGAGGCCGAGCAGCCAGTGGCTGCCCAGGAGACAAGTACAGCGTTGATTTTCAGAGTTCGTGTAACAGTTGGCGAGAAGAGCCAGATGGGAGGAAAAGCAGAAGAACTGCCTCTCCCCGGTTCTCCCTGTTGGATCAACCGCCTTGTTCTCTGTTCTCACTGTCGCTAGTCTGTGTAGAGTCTGCTACGTCTTCTTCTTTCTCCTGTTAGGATCATTATTTCCATTAAAGTGCAGCTCCTCAGGTCCCGCTCTCTCTTTGCCCTGTGAGGCCTCTTTACCTGTATTGAAGTTAATCCTCACCATCAGTGAACAAGGACATATTGTCAGCATTATGCCTGTTCTGCACACAGATGGACTTGAGCTCTGGGAGCTGTGCCCTGGGGACCTGTCAGGGAGAGGCGCTGTGTGACTTCAGAGCCCTCCTAGTCCTGCCTGTGCTGTGCAGGCCTCCCGGCTTACCTCCCGTGTAGACACAGTGTATAGCTCCTCAGAGCTCCGGGATGCACTGAGGACCTGTCTCTCCTCCTGACATCTGTCCTTATGATTGTATGTGATGTGACATCTAGACCCCTGTCTGACAGTCATACACCTCTGATAACTGCTCTCCCTTATCTCTGGGACTTTTCCCTTGATCACAGGGCAAGTCTCCTTGTCTGGAACCTGTCACAAGCTCATCATCATGCTCAGACCTCCCCTCTCCAGCATCTCCCCTCCCACCCATCCCCGCACACCTTTATTGAAGGGACCATGGAGAGATCCCCCACAGACTGGGGTCTTGGGCTGTTCTTCCATTGACACTGGGTACGGGGCCCAGTTGGGGCCAGAACACCCTCCCACCCCCCTGCAAAATGGCCAGGGCAGCAGTTCCCTACTTGTTTTGGGACCAGGACCCTTTTGAAAAATCTAAAGAAAGACACATGGGCACGTCTTGTACAGACCTTGGATTAAGAACCCTGGAACGGGCTGATCTGCATTTCTCCTCATATACCTGAAAGGTCTCTAACGTCATGAATTGCATTCTTGGACTATTAAATGTGGGGAAAAAGAAAACTCCCCAAACCATGTATGAGACCTTGCCATTGTGATGCATCTCGTCACTCCCTAATTGGTCAGACCCTTTGAGGAAGGGCTGTGTGTGCTGTGCCTCTGATAATGCTAATGTGCTGGGAAGTCCTTATATTTAGTAGGTGCAGGGGCAGCCTGTGCTGGGGATAAAAATCAATGTGGGCTGTAGAGTAGGGCAGAAGCAGTATCTGGCCGGGTGACTTTGGACAAGCCAGTCTCTCAGCACTCCTCTGGCATCCTGTCTGAAATGAGAAGGGAGTTTTTAAGGTCTTTTGCTGCTTGATCATGGTCTTTTTTGCTTTAGTTGAATATTTATTACCTTCCTACAAACATCTCTGCTTTTTCAATGAAATCAGAACATGGTTCTTGGTTGGTTGGAGCCCTGGTGGTGCAGTGGTTAAGAGCTTGGCTGCTAACCAAAAACTCAGTGTTCGAATCTACCAGCCACTCCTTGGAAACCCTGTGGGGCAGTTCTACTCCGTCCTATAGGGTCTCTATGAGTCAAAGTTGACTCAACAGCAAAGGGTTTGTTTGTTTTTTGGTTTTCTTGGTTAGGAATATGGTCCTTGCTGACACTTTCCGGGTATGGTCCTGCCCACACACTGTAGAATGGAGTCCCTGGGTGGTACGAGTGGTTAACTCACTCAGTTGCTAACCAAAAGGTTGGAGGTTTGAGTACACACTAAGGTGCCTCAAAAGAAAGGTGTGGTGATCTACTTCCGAAAAATCAGTCATTGAAAACCATATGGAGCGCAGTTCCATGCTGACACACATGGGGTCGCCATGAATCAGAGTTGACTTGATGACAATCCATTCGCACGGATAGCCCTCTCCCACGCTGTACCTCTTTTTCTCCTGAGTAAGCTTGTGTGTTCTAGGGACAAGGCAAGTCCTATAGGATTTGGTATGCTATCCTTTATTTTTTTGTTCTGTGACCAAACACGCATCTATGCATTGTAGTCTTATAATTCTCAATACGTCAGAGGCAAACAGCATGAAAAAATGCAGTTGCTCTCTTTTTTGATCTCTGAGGACGGTGATGTGTCTAAAAGTTTTCTCTTTTCCCTTTGTAGGTATTAAACCTTTCTGAAAAGAGATATGACCTTACAAAGCTTAATCCAAAGGTATGAATTTTATTGCTTCATGTTCTGAGTTTTATAAAATGTAAACGTTGCTTACCTTGCTCATGTAAAAATAATCTGTTACAAGTCTTTGTGGGATGTGACTTGATAATAGGTATTGGGAACTGTTCATATCCATTTGTCATACATTTTTAAATTGAATTTTTTTTTTTTAATTTTGAAGTAATTATGGATTTACAGGAAGTTGCAAAAATAGTACAGAGAAGTCCCTGTTTCACTTCACTCAGTTTCTCCCGTGGTGATGTTTTACATAACTAATGGTGTAATAGCAATGCCAGGAAATTGACATCTGTACAACCCACAGATCTCATTCACACTTCGCTAGTTCTGCATGCACTGGTGTGTGTGTGCGTGTGTGTGTGTGTGTGGTGGGGGGCGTTCTCTGCCATTTAGTCTCGTGTAGATATGTATAATCACCACGACAGTCAAGATACAGAACTTCCCTCGTCACAAAGATCACCCTTGTGCAACTTCTTTATACTCCCGACTGCCCCTTCCCAGCATTATTATTTTCAGTAGCCAACATTTGGGAATATTTTTAAAAATGCAAATGTGTAAGTTATGCATATATTGGAATATTTTGCAGCCATTAGAATTAAAAAAAAAACAATCAATTGCCTCTTTAAATATCAGTGAACAAAAGTAGAATGAAGAATTTATGTATAATATTATCTCAGCTAAGGAGCCCTGGTGGCACATTGGTAAAAATGCTCGGCTGGGTTCCAAAAGGTTGACGGTTCGAACCTACCAGCTGCTCTGAGGGAGAAAGATGTGGCCATCTGCTTCCATAAAGATTTATAGCCTTGGAAACCCTGTGGGGCAGTTCTGCTCTGTCCTATAGGGTCACTGAGTCAGAAATGACTTGATGGCAGTGGGTTTGGATCTGGGTTTTTTGGTATTATCTCAACTGTGTTAAATACACTTAGAAAAAGAGAAGGATTCATCAAAATGCTTTTGTGGTTACTTATGACTGGTTGATAGGAGTATGTGAGTTTTCCTTCTTCCTGACAGTTTTCTGATTTTTAAACATATTTTTACATTATTTATTGCTTTTCTAATTCGATAGAGCTCTGCCGCTCCTCCCCTCTTAAAAAAAAAAAAAAAAAAGAAAGAAAGAAAAGTAAAAATCCTAGTTGGCCATAGTAGGTTTTAGAGCTAGACATATTTATCATGGTCGCTCAGAGTTGCTGTGTTTGTGCCTAGATCCACTGTATTCGTTACCACATGATTATCATTTTCTTTGTTAATGCCTGAAATTATAATTAATATTTGAAGATGCTTCCTCTTCCAGGGGCACATTTCTCTCTTGTGAGAAATTTTGCTGTCTCCCAAGTATGTGTGATAGACATTTGTCTCTAAGATGTTATCTGCACAGAGTGTGGGGGAATGGCTAACTGCATTTTCCCAAACTGTGATTTTAATTTGAGTGGAGGCATTTTGGCAGCAGCTTGGGCCAGGAGCTCCTGTTTCAGGTCCTGCCAGCTCTCAGCCCCTCCCCACATAACCTTGTACCATTTTCTGCTCCTAAAAGGCCTATCGGGAATTGTCATTCCAGCTGCATGAGAACAGATAAGATCCTTGTAGAGATGTCTCATTCAGGCAACATTATACTTTATATTTTTCTTTCTGGTAAAGGAGCCTGGCCATACTCATTAGGTTTTAGAAAAGGAACACGCAGCATCCTTCTTTATTCCCAAATGAAATACACAGACATATAAAACACGAGATGGCTTTAGAAGCCTTCAGAAGGTGGAAACTAAAGAAGCGTTCTCTCATTCCAGACGATGGATGTGGGCTGGCCGGACCTGCATGCCCCGCCCCTCGATAAGATGTGCACCATATGCAAAGCCCAGGAGTCCTGGCTCAACAGTGACCCCCAGCACGTGGTGGTCATCCACTGCCGGGTGAGTGAGCAGAGGGTGCCCCCTGAAGTTGTGAAGGTTGTGGGTTGGAGACCTTCAGTTGTGTGACGTGCTCTGTACGTGTTTGTGGTGAGGTTTCCACTTGTCCTTAAAAAAGAACCCCAAACCTCCCAGAGTTTCACTTTAGAGTTTCTAGGATCGAGATCCCTGAATGGACATTTTTAACTAATGAATGATACTGCTGAGAGTGAGTGTCTTCCTTCCCTCCCTGGCTCCCTCCCTCCCTTCCTCCTCCTCCCTTCCGTTTTATTTCCTTTGTCCTTAACCATGGAAAGCCCCTTTTTTTAAAACAGAAAAAGGCAATTTTTAAGATCCATGGTATCAGATTTTCTGTTCCATCTGAGTTACAATGATTAATTGGTTGACATGTGACTATGGGCGTAATGCTAAACATATCTCAGTAAACATGTTATCTTTTTTTTTACTTTATTGTACTTTAGATGAAGGTTTACAGAACAAATAGTTTCTCAAGAAACAGTTAGTACACATACTGTTGTACACATAAGACATTGGTTAACACCCCCACAACATGTCAACACTCTCCCTTCTCGACCTTGGTTTCCCTGTTACCAGCTTTCCTGTCCCCTCCTGCCCTCTAATCTTTGTCCTTGGGCTGTTGTGCCCCATTAGTCTCATTTTGTTTAAACATGTCATCTTTTATAAGTGGCACCAGCCCCCAGGAGAAGCTACTTGTGCATTTTCATAGGTTGGCTCAGGCTGGCTGTAGTTGCTGCAGTGTGGGCAGGCTGCTCTGCTCCCGGGGGTCCAGGCGCCCTGTGCAGCCAGGGCATTTGTCCTGGGGACCACCTACCTCCTTCTAGCCTTTCTCCTCCTACCTCCTGACATCTTTTTTAATTCTCCGGTTTCTCAACTGCCTTGGAATTGATTTTTGCCTCTTACTGAAAAGAGTTCCCTTCTCAACCCAGGTTTCCCAAGTTTGACTGGTGTTGAAAGGGGCTGAACTGAGAGCACATTTACCTAAGGGGCAAGGAATTGGGGCTTAACCATCCCGTGAGATAACTTTTACTCTAAAGGAGAAGTTGTGATCACACACACATCTTGGATTCGTGCAACGTGTGGGAGGAATAGTTGGACAGGAGGTTTGCCAGTGGGCTGGGGGCACAGTCCTCTAAGGAGCAGTTCTCTATTTCTGGCCTCCTGCACTGCATTCTGTGACCACCAGAACATCTAGAAAATGTTCATATTTCCATCATGAGACAGTTGTCTTCTGATTGTCTTTTAATGCTCAAAAGCTGCACAAAAATCCATTCAATCATGAAATTTAATTTTTTAAAAAAAGTTTTTGTTGTTGTTGAGAATATACACAACAAAACACACACCTGACTTTTTCAAGTGCTATGTTACCTCAAGGAGTTTCCCCTCAGATATGTGTTTTGGTGCAAACTGGAAAAAAAAAAAAAAAAGTATTTTAGAAACAATTCTAATCAATTAAAGCTAACTGTATTTTTTTCATCAAGCTTGATGTGAGTATTTTTACACAGTGGGGGGTCATTGTTGCCTAGGATCCCATGCCAAGCTATTCCTCAGCATTATTTCCTAACCCAGTGGCTCTTAAAGTGTGGGCACACGAACAACGGTGTTAGCATCACTTTTGTACTTGTGAGAAATGCAGATTCCAGGGCCCTACCATGGGCCTACCAGGTCTGGGTGGGGTCCAGCAAACTGTTTTTCTGAGAATTCTGGTGCACTCCAGAGTTTGGGAAGCACTGCCCTGAACTATTCATTCTGTTTCACTTTTCCCTTTCAGTTTTTTTTTTATGAGATAGATTGTAATATTATTTAAAGCATTTGGATAACAAGAGATGAAATTAACATGCAGAGATTTCTAAATTGCTTCTTATTCCTAAGCAGCTCTTGGCTCTCTGCATAAATTTTCATAATGGAATTAATTGGAGACATGTTGAAACTTATTAAAAATAATTTGCTCATCACTTGTGCTATTCTGGTGTCATGGAAACCATTTTCAAACCATTTAGACAACAAGCTCTGAAAGATAAGTTCTCTTTTAATTTAAAATGACTGATGTTGACATTAACAGAAGTTTATCATACATCACTGCTGGAGTGAAATTGCTGATATTTGCCAAAATCCATGTGCTTTGCAGAATGTGCATTTGCTTTTAACATTGTGCTGGAAATTGCTGGCATAATTGGGTCTGTCTTGGCTTGGATAGGGGCAAATGGAGAGGCTAGCATAGCAGTGTACCCCCATTCTCTCTGTCTCTTTTTTTAATGATGGTAAATGACATGTAACAAAATATTTGTCATTTTAACAATTTTTAATTGCACAATTCAGCGACATTAGTTGTACTCACCATGTTGTGCAACCATCACCACCGTCCATTTCCCCCGTTCTCTTGTTTGATGTAAAGGATACTGTGTTTGTTCATCTGTCCCATTCTCCAGTCCCTTCCCCCCACCCTCCAACCTGAGCTATTGATTTAGCAGTAATAGCCTGAAGTTCTTTGGGAAGGTTTCATCCCCACTACACTTTTGTTTTTGTGTCTATGGTGAAGAATACACACAGCAAGTTGTGTGATCCAGTGATTCTGTGTTTTTTTTTTAAAAACAGATGAAAACTGTTCAAGTCCAAAAGAATGTTGCTTGTGCTGAAGGACTTCATATCTGCAGTGTTGTTGTTAGCTGCCATTGGGTCGGCCCCTGGCTCGTGGCTACGCCGTCCACAATGGAACAAAACACTGCCCGGTCCCGCTCCATCCTCATGACCCGATGTGGATAGGACCGTTGTGATCCATAGGGTTTTCTTTGGCCAATTTTTTGAAATAGATCACCAGGCCTTTCTTCCTAATCCATCTTAGTCTAGAAACTCTGCTGAAACCTGTTTGCATCATAGCCACATGTAAGCCTCCACCGACAGATGGGTGGTGGCTGTGCTTGAGAGGCATTTGTTGGGAATTGAACTCAGGTCTCTAACATGGAAGGTGAGGATTCTACCACTGAACCACCAAGCCCCCTATCCATGGCTAGCACCGTAAAGAACAGCGATAGATTGAAGATAGTAGTGGGAAAGGCCAAGACTTCTGCCTGGTTCTGACTTGTAGGTCAATTTATGTCTTAAAAAAACTGTTTTATGAAATAATTATACCAGTAGCTCTACAGTTAATAATGGGAAATAACAGGATTCATCTGTAAAGGATTTATGCATGCCTGCATTGAAAATCTAGAAGGCATGTGCTTTGCTTTCCTGGGATGACATGGAGACTCCGCCTAGGTAACATACATGTATGATTGTGGGTTTATTGGAATTGTGATTTGGATTTGCTCTGTCATTTCTTTTAAAGAGTGGACTTAAGGACCTACATGTTGGTGCTCTGCCATTTTGGCTTTGTGCAATTCTAGATCATGATTGGCAAGCCTTTTTTTTTTAGTTTATGTATATTTAATTGTTTATGTCGTTTCATTAAAGTGAGAACATACGATATTTGTTTTTTGTGATTGACTTATTTTGCTCAACATAATGTTCTTCAGGTTCATCCATGTTCCAAAATGTTTTGGGAACTAATTTTTCTTTATCGCTGAGTAGTATTCCATCATATGTGTGTACTGCATTCATCCGTTGATGGGCACTAAGGTTGGTTCCATCTTTTTGCTGTTGTGAATAGTGCTGCTGTGAATATAGGTGTGCATATGTGTGTTCATGTCACTTCTATTAGATCCCTTGGGTATATTACTAGGAGTGGAATTGCTGGCTCATATTTCAGCTCTACCTCTTAATTTTTTGAGGAACCACCAAACTGTTTTCCACAGTGGCTGTACCATTTTGCATTCCTACCAGCAATGGATGAGGGTTCTAGTTTCTCTACATCCCCTCCAACACATGTTGTTTTCCATTTTTTTATCTTGGCCATCCTAGGGAGTGAAATGACATCTCACTGTGGTTTTGATTTGTGTTTCTCTGATGGCTAATGACGTTGAGCATCTTTTCATATGTCTGCTGGCAATTTGAATGTCCTCTTCGGTGAAGTGTCTGTTCATGCCCTTTGCCCAGTTTTTGATTGGGTTATTTGTCTATTTGTCATTAAATTATAGAAGTTTTCTATATGTCTTAGATATTAGACCCTTATTGGTTACACCATTCCCAAAGATTTTTTTCCAGTGTGTAGGTTGTCTCTCTACTCTTTTGATAAAGTCTTTCGATGAACTTTCGTGAGGTCCCAGTTACCTATTTTGTTTTCTGTTCCTTGTGCATTAATTGTTGTATTTGAAAATCTATTACTGAAAAAAAATTAGATCCCAAAGCTTTGCTCTTATATTTTCTTCCAGGAACTTCATGGTTTTAGATTTAACATTTAGGTCCTCGATCCATTTTGAATTAGTTCTTGTGGATGGTATGAAGTATGGATCTTGTTTCATTTTTCTGCACATGGAAGTCCAGTTTTGCCAGTCCCATTTGTTGAAGAGACTGTTCTTTCCCCACTGAATGGATTTGGCATCCTTGTTGAAAATCAGCTGACCATAAGCCATAAGCGAGCTTTTTCTTAAAGAGGTAGATAGTAGATATTTTAGGCTTCGTGGGCAACATGGTCTCTGTTGTAGCTGCTCAGCTCTGCCGTTGCAATACAAAAGCAATCATAGACAACACGTAAATGAATGGGTGTGGCTGTGTGCCACACGGCAGTTTGAATTTCATATGATACATGTATTATTCATTTGAATTTTTCATTTAAAAATGAGAAAACAATTCTTAGCAGAATTGACTCGTGGGCTGTAATTTGCCAACCGCTGTGAATGGACTCGACGACAGAGGGTTTGGTTTTGGTTTGTTGTAGGTCATGACAATATATTCTAGAAAGTGACAGTCCATGGTCTGGGTGAGAGTGGTCTGCCGTATGGTTGTGGTGGTTCTGGACAGTGTTATCCTGCTGCTGGTAATACTCGCCTGTGGTGCCGGAGTCGACAGGCCCTGTTTAGGCTGTGGGATGTCTGTGGTTACTGACTGGTTCCTTTTCAGCACCACCTGTCTGGGGGAGTGGACCTTGTTGTGCCAGTGAGCTGTGGGCTGTACGGGGCGCTGAACAGTGTGCCAATTGCTGCTCTGGACGACGTGAGCTATATGTGCCATCCTGACCATTGCCAGCTCTGCAGCGGGCATTCATTTACGTTTCACCTAGCTAATTAGGCCATGCTAATTGCTGCCGCCCAAGGCACAGTTTCTTTTGCTCTAATTGGGATGTGGTGAAATTACTGTCTTCCACTGAGCTGCGTCTCTCTGCCCGTGGGCTCCCGTGGGTGCCCCAGTTAGCACCTGCTCTTGTCATCTGTGCCCCCCACCACCCTGCCCGGTGTGTAGGTTCCCACTGCAGAGGCTGCCCTTGTGTGAGGTGCTGAATCTACTCCTGCACAGGAAGGCAAAGGAGAGAGACACCAATTTAACCTCGACAGCAAACTCATCACCCCTGCAGTGTGTGAGCATTTTCCTGTTCTAGTTACACCACTGCTGTGGGACTCAAGAGCAACTCAGCTCCTGTTTTGTCTCCTGCAGGGCGGGAAAGGACGCATCGGAATGATCATCTCCTCCTACACGCACTTCACCAACGTCTCAGCCAGGTAGGATGATGTCCGCATGCCGCCTTCGAGTGTTGTGGGGCTCAAAGGCTAAGTGGGATGGAAGTCAGCACCCTAGGAGCCACCCTGGGGTCTGAGGGCTCCCGGAGTAGCCACACCAGTGCGCTGCACTGGGCTGCATCTCTGAGGCCCAGCGTCAGTGCTGCCAGGTTGGTTAAGGGGTTTTACACTCGGGGGGACAGATGCTTTCTTGGTTCAGAAATTACTTATGATTGATCCATGGAGGCATCAAAGATACCTTGCACTCACTGTCATTCTCTACTAAAAATAATGGAGACAAGTATTACTGCTGTTAACAGCAAGAAGTGTCATCTCAGTCTATGCTGCCACACCTTGTAGGTAATAATGCCAATAGCCACCATCTTTTGCACGCACTGGACCTTTGGGAAGGAGCCTTGATGGTGCAGTGGTTAAGTGTTGGGCTGCTAACCAAAAGGTCAGCAGTTTGAATCCACCAACTGCTCTTTGGAAACTCTATGGGGCAGCTCTACTCTGTCCTATAGGGTCGCTATGAGTCGGAATGGACTTGACAGTAATGGGTTTGGTTTTATTTTGGTCCTTTGGGAAGCACTTGACCAGTATTCATTTTCTCACTTAATCCTCCCAACTAACCTGTGAGGCAGTTATCATCCTTCTCATTTTACATATGAGGAAACTGAGGCTCAGAGGGGTTGGGCGGCTTGCTGGCGATCACGCAGCCTGTGAGTGGGCTGACAGGTTTGACCTTGGGGGTGGGGCCAGGACCACATTGTCCTTGGTCAGCCTTGCCCAGCATAGTGTCCAGAGGATTCGGTTCTCAGGAGGTGAAGAAGCCATTGTGGAGACATCCCTGGCCTCTGCCTGCCCCCCAGGCCATGCGCAACAGGCACAGCCAGGCTGGGAGGGGCTCAGCCTCCAGGCAGCCCTACTGGCACTGGGATGTGCAGGGTACACCCAGATACCACCTCATGGCACACAGATCTCCACTCATGCTGGAAATTCAGTTCAAAAATATCATTCTTTATGGGTTTTAAATTTGCATCTGTTCTCTCTTTTCAATGCCCACCTTGTAAAGCATGAACTATTCCTTTCTGAGGAAATATAAGCCTGTTCATATTAGCCGATAAACCTTTTCCTTTCTAGCATTAGGGAGTGAAATTTGACTTTCTGAATGTTTTCTCTGGAAACAAATTGGGGCGCTTGTGCCTGCCAGGGAGGAAACCCAAGCCCCAAGTGAAAATCAAATACCCTCATGGTGATAATAAGTGTTTGTGTATGTGCCAACCTGGTGGAGATTCCTGGTCACATTGAACCACTCCATTCAGCCAAAGACATTTGGTCAGAGACCAAAGTGAACCTGGTGGAATCTGGACAAAGACCACCCTCTGCATTTCTGCCCCCAACAAGGCAGTTCTTTTTGGAACTGAAGGTCCAGGCACTGTGGACGGTCCTGTCCTTCTTCGAAAGGATGATGAGAAATGGGTTTTTTACTTAAAACTCATCAGTGATACTGTTTCTGAAAACCCTGCTCGTTCAGAATATTTCGTGTATATTTCAGCTGCGTGGTGTTGTTGTTCTGTGCTGTCAAGTCAGTTCTGACTCACAGCGACCCTGTGCCCCACAGAATGAAACCCTGCCGAGTCCTGAGCCACGCTCACGGTCGTTGTTACGTTTGAGCCCATTGTTGCAGCGACTGTGTTAATCCATCTCATTGAGGGTCTTCCTCTTTTTTGCCAACCCTGTACTTTACCCAGCATGATGTCCTTCTCCAGGGACTGGTTCTTCCTGACGACGTATCCAAAGTGTCATAAGGACAACATGTCCAAACGTGTCATAAGGTTTTCACTGGCTAGTTCTTTTCAGAAGTAGACTGCCAGGTCCTTCTTCCTAGTCTGTCTTAGTCTGGAAGCTCAGGTGAAACCTGTCCGCCATGGGGGACCATGCTGGTATCTGAATACCGGTGGCATAGCTTACAGCATCACAGCAACACACAGTATGACAGACTGACAGACACGTGGGGGTCAGCTGCATGGTGTCATGGAATTCACATGAATTTCTCAGAGGCTTTGTGTGCTCATCTGGAAAGTGGGAATAATAGTTGTACCTTAGAGTTCTGGGAAAATCGAATGTGTCATTATATGTAAAGCACTTAGAACAAGAACAGTGCACAAGTATTAGCTGTTATTAATGCTGCTGTTACTAGTAAGAGTAATAATGTTAAGTACTTTTAGATAAAATGTGATGGCACTACAGCAGTGTTTTCTAACATGCTTTTCTAAATTAACACTATTTTGTGTCTTTCCTTGACAGTACCATCATTTTAATGGCTACTCAGTGCTCCATTAGATGAATAGAATAGTGTATATTTCATCAGTGGCTGATTTTGCATATGCAGGTTGCTCCCAGTTTTTCTTTAGAATTTACGTTGCTTCTGTTACTCTCTACTGTAAAGCATGCCATGATAAACACATTCTTCTGTTTACAGTTTTGATCGTTTCTATGGTCTTTTTCTTTTAGAGTAGGTCATAAGGAACACACATTTTTAAGGCCTTTATCACAAATTTGCTCCAAAACAAAAACAGAAGCTTCAAGTCACAAAGGAAGAACAACATTCTTGTATGAACACCCTAAAAAGAAGAGTTCACAAAAATAAAATAAATAATGTCATTAATGCTAATGATGATGTTAATGTTATACATAAATATTGACCAGAATGCACTATCATCATTTAATAAAACAACTGAATTCCTGAAAAAAACTGTGCTTAAAAGTGAAAGGATAAATATATAACTAGAGTTTTCAACTTAAATAAAAGAGATCACTCAATAGATTAAATAGAGTTTAAATGGACCCTTCGGTGTGTCACAGTCCCATTAACTCAACCCTTTATTTAGACAGATGCAAGCAGTGAGACCCACTCCGTAGCATATGATGGAAGTCAAACCGCACTACATTTAATTTTGAGTATTTGCTTTGTCCTTCTGCCTGTCTCTCTATGTATTTTCCCCTAGTCTTTTTCCCAGGTCTTGGTGGTATCCACAATTCTGGAACTGTATATAAATTGTCTGGATGGGCACATGCACATTTTTCTAAGGGCAGGGTCCAAACTTACATCAGATTTTCAAGATTTGGCTCAGACAGTCTTAGGAGTTTGGACTTAACTGCACGGATATTCCACTATTTATTCTGAGGTCATGCCAGAAAACCCAAAGACCCGATATGGTGTTTCCTAAAAGTTCATTGAATGCTACTCTGGCATTTGGAATTCAATGTCAAATGAATTACTTGGAAAAGCTAGTATTCCTTCTGTGACACTAACTTCAAAAAAATACCCAGGCCACTCCTAAGATGTGAGGATGCCATTACGATACCCCTGCTGGGCCGCGCAGGGTGCTCTCAGCCCTTGTCAAGCCTGTTTATAGAAGAGACTTACTAACCTGGAGCTTGCAGGCCATCCCACGCCTGGCCCAACCTGTCTTCTGAAACTTGATGGGGTGTCCACCAACTGAGGTGTTCTGGAGCTCTGTTTCTCACGCCTATACCCCTGTTGGTTTGCAAAAGCTTCCTCATGAAGCTGGGACTTGGGCCTGCCTCGTCATCTTATGTGGAGCCCCGTTTAAACTGGTCTCATTTGTTTGGGAGGCATGGTGGAAACAGGGACTGCTTTTGGATGCTGGCCCTGTGGCAGCTGCCTGAGAAACCTCAGGCAGGTTAGTATTCCATGAGCCGTGTCTGCAGCACATTTAAGTACCAGACCCTGAGATAAGATGGTGGCATTCCAGCTGAGATTTCCGACCCGCTGGTGTGCATTTCCCTTTGAAATGAACGTATCCCCGGGGAGATGAATTCTAAGAGAAGATGGTTGAAGTGGGTATACACAAGGTGTAGCGAAAGAATGGGCCTGCTTGTGGGAGCGGTCACTCAGCGCAGCCACAGAACACTTGTCACATTCCACCTGGCCGTGCCATGGGAATACAGCTGAGTTAATGCACTCTCTCTTTCTCTGCTTCCCCAGTGCCGACCAAGCCCTTGACAGATTCGCAATGAAGAAATTTTACGATGATAAAGTTTCAGCTTTAATGCAGCCATCCCAAAAACGGTATGTATCTACCACCCCCTCACACCCCCCTTCCCTGAGCCAGAGCAAAATTGTAAATGGGATTTTATATTAAAAAATGCTAAATGACACTTTTCCACTGAAGAGACAGAAGAGACCCTCCTCTGGGCCCCCACAGGGAATGGTTGGCCTAAGTCCTCCAAAGAATCTGAGGGAGGGGCTTTTTCGTGGGGAGAGGAGAAATTAAACGAGGAAACATTGTGTGGTGGTGGTGGTGGGAGCCGCCTGCGCCGCTGGCTAGCTCCAGAGAGATCGAGGGATGCTTTGCTTCTCCACATTCTCTGCAACTTGGGTCTTCCACCCTCTGGCAAGTTTTCCTTTCTACTGTTATTATTCTGAAACTTGTTTCTATCCAGGTTCAGTAAACAAGATAGTAAATATTTTAGGCTTTGCAGGCCATGCAGTCTCTGTCACAACTGCTCACCTCTGCCATTCTGACAAGAAGGCCGCCATAGACAGTTAAGTCAATGCATGAGCACAGCTGTGTTCCAATAAAACTTTTTTACACAAACATGTGGCCGGATTTGGCCCATGGGTCATAGTTTGCTGACCCTTATCCTAGAGAACCGGCTCCCCGAGGCCAGGGCAGTATTGTTCTTTTATGTTGGAACATTCCTCTTTCTGTACTGCTTGTGTCTTACCTGGTCCATGGAAGATGCTCTCTAAGTGTTGGGTAATGGCCTTGGTGGAGCAGGACTTTCTCATTTCTGTCTGCTCTGCAGGCTGAGGTGAAGAATAAGAACTTGAGGAAAGTCAGTGTCGAGAGGTAGTGATAGAAGCTGGTAGCTGGCTTTCCTTCCAGACCCACTCACTCTGCAGATGGTGACTTAATACAGCCAAGGACACAACTACATTCTTTTTCTTTTTTAAACTGAGTGCCAATTAGTTTTTACAAGAATTGCCAAGACATTTGCCAAAATGAATTTTCTGTCCTAGAGACACATTATCTGTGTATGTGAGTTTCGATCCCTCCCTCTGTTCTCTCCTATGCACTGAGGGCCCATTCCGCCCATGTGAGTGGAAAGGAGGTCTGCATCAGGCCAGAGGTGTGTGGTGGTCAGGAGCAGGGGCTCGTTATTTCGACTTGGGAGAGGGATTTCAAGGACTGCCAGGGGCACCTTCTACTTTTATCTTGGGTGTTTCCAATGGCATGGGTCTGTTTCTGTTCACACCAGAATGTGCTGGAGAAATGTGGGCTCCACATGTGGGCCTGGCCTCATCCTACTATGAGCAAAAGACCCCACAGAGAAGGCAAGTCGCTTGAGGAAAAACCAGCGTTCTGTCAGTATTATATTTAAATAACCCCTTGCTCTATCTTGAACCATTAAGTGTCATTTCTCTGTTGAGTTGTTTCCAGAACAGGGCCATTAATGGGACCTCCTGTGTGGGAAGTGAGGAGTAACCCATGCAGAATGCCTAGCACACACCCAGAAATGATGTTTGCTCTTATTTTCTTCTTTTTGTTCTTATTACTTACTGCTCTGACAGCTTTCTAATAGCATTAAAAGAGTGTGGAAAAAAGGGGAAAAAAATCTCATTTCAATATACCCCCAAATTTTCATGTGTAATACATACACATAAGGTCACCATGAGTCAGTCAGAACTGACTCAATGGCAAACCACAGCAACAGCGAAGTTTTCTTGCCTCCTGTCGTTACATATTTGAAGGTCTAGCATTTACATTTCTGTAACGATGGCTTGGGTTTGATTTTGCATTCCAAGACTGCACCCAGAGATCAGGAGAAATGATCCTTATTCCTGGCACCCTGCTCTGTGCCTGCACTCAGCAGATGCTCACCAAATTGTTATTTATTGAGTGGTTGAATAACCTAATAAATGCATAAAATGAATCTAGAGGAATATTTCAAACCAGGGCTAAATTTTTTGGCATTTCATGTTACAAAATATAGTGAGGGGACTGTGTGGGAGCTTTGTGGGCTATTTTAGAACTGAGCTTAAGAAATTATTTCAAAATCTCATAACAAGGAGAGTGAATTAATTAGCTTGGCATTTGTGGCTCCGAGAAGCTTATCTTGTCAACAGTGACTTCCCCAGCAGCCATTGACAGAGAAGTGACAGCTTCATCGGAGCCTTTGCGTAATAAATATTTGGCTTAGCTAGCTTGTTATGCATGCAGTCCATTTGGTTAGAGGTATATTCTCTGTTACTTTGCTCATTTCACGTAAAAGCCATCAAGCCCACAGGAGCCAGGGCAGTAATGGCCCGTGAAGTTCCTTGTTTCCAGCACAAGAACTGTGGCTGTAGGCAGTCCTCTTTTTGTACCTTCGGCCTTCAGCAAACAGAGGTCTGCCAGAGAAGCAGCTTTTCAAACCCTGATGTTAGCCTCCTGTTGTGGTTGGCTGCTGTGGAGTCGGCCCCTGACTCATGACCACCCTATGCACAATGGGATTGGACTGCTGTGATGCATAGGATTTCATTTGCTGATTTTCAGAAGGAGATCACCAGGTCTTTCTTCCTAGTCTGTCTTCCTCTGGAAGTTCTGTTGAAACCTGTTCAGCATTACAGCAACACACATGCCTCCGCTGACAGACAGGTGATAGCTGTGCGTGAGGCGTATTGGCTGGGAATCAAACCTGGTCTCCTGCATGGAAGGCGAGGATTCTACCACTGAACCGCCTACGCTCCCACCTGCCCTCTTGTTACCCAGTGATAACTATCGACGGTGCCTGTGAACTTGGAGGCCCTTGTATAGCTTAGTTTATCATCAACATAATGGAAGTGAGTCATTAGATTGTTGAAATTACTGACCTTCCTCCTTTTCCTTTCTTGTGAAGAGGAAGGAGTTGAGAAAGCAGCACCAGTGTCTGGCTTCCATCACTTCGTCTTTAATAGGGAAGAGTGGTTGGTGATCAGTAATTCTTTCGGACAGCTAACATCTGAGGGCGAAGTGCAAAAGTGACCACGAGGAGGCCCAGGTGGGGTTATGGAAGACCATCATCCCCACATCCTTTGTGCACAGTCATGAGTGTCCCTTTGAGGTGAAGGGAAGAGAGACTAAAAATTGTGACATGCAGAAATTAGGATTTCCTCAATGTTTCCAATAGCTGAAAATGATCCTGACCTTATAGTATTATTTGATCTTTGATATTTCTATAATTTTTGACACGATTGCATGGGTACCTCAAAGAAAACTCGGACCTAAAGCAAGGGAAGATGGCAGGGAAGGGGTTGTCCAGGCCCTTTATCACAAGGGCGCTGCTGCTTGGCGAGGCCCCGGCATGGTGAGCAGGCTTACTGCACTTTGTGGCATGGAGACCCCCCACCTGTCCCTACATGCAGAGGTGGAGACAGACGGTTAGCCTTGCCACAGAGCCTTGCAGCTTCAACCTGGCTGGCTGCTTCTCTGGACCACGTACCCCAGTCCTTGGGCCCTGACGGATGCTGCCCCCTGACAGCATGTAACGGGACAGAGGCTGGGTCCTCTGCGTGAGTTCATTACCTGCTCCCTGGGCACCATCCTGGCGCTGAGATCCAGCACAACTCCTCTTGGCAGCCATCCTGCAGGCTCGGTCTCATCATTCTCTCCTTTAGCAATGGGAGAAGGATTCCTTGGGGGGTGCAAATGGTTAACGTGCTGAGCTGCTAACTTAAAGGTTGGAGGTTCGAGTCCACCCAGAGGTGCCTCGAAAGAAAAGTCTGGTGATCTACTTCCGAGGAACCAGCCATTGAAAACCCTGTGGAGATCAGCTCTACTCTGACACACATGGATTCCCCCACTCTCCTGGCTAATTGGGAGCATCTCAAGGCATCACTCATCAGAACCCTCCATGTTTGCGTGTAGATATAAGATGTAAAGCCAGTTCCCCTCAGGTAGGGGGTTCGCGTGTGTCTTGGGCCTAGGGAGTGTGCAGAGGGTATGAAGGGAGTCATTGCACCGAGTGGTCACCTGTGTGTGATCCACCTGAGCAATTGCCAGGTGCTGATGGAGTGAATCATGTTCCTGTGACTAGAGCTTCCCAGTGTCGGAAGAAGGGAAACTGCTGTACAGAGAGGCAGATGATTCAGTTAGAGGTCCCTGTACTCCAAATATCTGTGATTAAAAAAAGAAAAACATAATAATAATAAAAGTCTATGATTCCTTTACCTTGCTGAAAACTAAGGAAACCAAGAACCATGAAATCTGCAGTGGGTGAAATTTGTGGTGGTTGTTGTGTGCCGTTGACTCGATTGTGACTCATAGTGACCCTATAGGGCAGAGTAGAGCTGCCTCATAGGGTTTCCAAGGTTGTAATCCTTACGGCCACCACATGTCTGTCAGTTTGTCATACTGTGGTGGCTTGTATATAGCTTTGATACAGGAAGATTTGCCACCAGTATTTCAAATACCAGCGGGGTCACCCTTGGCAGACAGGTTTCAGCAGAGCTTCCAGACTCAGACTAGAAAGAAGGACCTGGTGGTCTACTTCTGAAACAATTGGCTGGTGAAAACCCATGGAACCAGCAGTCAAGAAATCAAAGGATGCATTGCATTGGGCACATCTGCTGCAAAAGACCTCTTTAAAGTGTTAAAAAGCAAAGGTGTCACTTTAAGGACAAAGGTGTACTTGACCCAAGCCATGGTGTTTTCAATTGCCATGTATGTGTATGAAAGCCAGACAGTGAATAAGGAAGACCGAAGAAGAATTGATGCCTTTGAATTATGGTGTTGGCAAAGAATATTGAATATTGCATGGACTGCCAGAAGAATAAACAAATCTGTCCTGGAAGAAGTACAGCCAGAATGCTCATTAGAAGCAAGGATGGAGCGACTTCATCTCACATACTTCTGACATTGTTATCAGGAGAGACCAGTCCCTGGAGAAGGACATCACGCTTGGTAAGGTAGAGGGCCAGTGAAACAGAGAAGGACCCTCAACAAGATGGATTGACACAGTGGCTGCAACAATGGGCTCAAGCGTAACAGTGATTGTGAGGATGACGCAGGACTGGGCAGTGTTTCGTCCTGTTGTACGTAGGGTCGCTTTGAGTCGGAACCATACTTGAAGGCACCTACCAACAACAATCCTTATGGGAGCAGATTGCCAGGTCTTGTCGCCCATGGAGCCACTGGTGGGTTCAAACCACCAGCCTTTTGGTTAGCAGCTGAATGCTTAACCATTGTGCCACCATGGCTCCTCTGGCAAAATTTAGATTAAAAATAATCAAACTGTTCACCCACTTGTATTTCAAAGTACAACAGAAGCTAAGAAATCTTGTTGTTAAGGGAGAAAATGCCAGACAGGAAAGGAGTGTGGGTGCCCTCTGGTGGTGAGGCCCGCTGCGTGGCCTGGGTCATCTGGCCTCGGTCATCTCCCAGGGCCTGGTCACGTGCCCCTTGAGGTCCACCAGCACCATTGTGAGGTTTTGTGCTGTCCTGAACAAGAAGAAGCACATTTTGCCCTCAAGAAAGTGGAAGTACTGAAATGCCTTGTTTTCTAGGAAAAAAAAAAAAGAAGCGTAACTTCCTTTCTAACGTTCTCCTATGAGAGTGGTATATAAGTAGTTATTTTTTTTCTTTTAATGTTTACCAGAAATTTACTTTTGTTCAGTTTGCTTTGTATACAGATTCAGCTGTTGACATAATGGGCTGTGTCTGAACTGCCAGCATAAATTAGAGATTTTTCTTTAATATAAGTAAGGTTAAGCTTAGTGACCATTGCAGGCGTGGGATGGAGTATTATTGGCTCAGAGGGAAATGGACTGGGCCTGGGTGGTTAGGAGGCGTGAATGGTCCTGTGCTGATAATGCTGGTATTTAACTCTCTCAGTCATTACTCACTGACTCTCCTGTTTGCTAGGTTCTGCTGTAGGCATTAGAGATATACATAGATGATTAGACTGTGGGTGTTTGGGTTTTTTGTTTGTTTTGTTTTGTTTTCCCCTTGCAAAGACTGCAGTACTTTGTTAGAAAAGACATGGGAACAAATAGACTGAGTGTAAGGTGTTGCGTGCCAGGGGAGGGTGCGCGTGCAGGGTGCACTGAGGGTGCATGCACAGCATGGGAGGGGGTTGGGGAGCCACAGGGAGAGGAGCTAGGGGAAGGAGCTGCCACGTGGCAGTCACATGCATGGGAGATCGGGTTTGCAGGGAGAACAGCAGGCACTCCAGGTGGAGGTAATGGCCGAGGCCAGAGCAAGACCGGTGTCTGTACTCACTTCTCCATCATTATGATTACGTCTGTCGAGTACCACCAAGATACAACCCTCCTGCTGTGGGAACTTCTCTCTCAACTACCACATGCACATAGAAGATGACTGAAGTCAGGATTGATGCAGGTGCACAATGTTTAATTAATGCACTTTAGCAAAGAAGAAAAAGTAGGAAAAGAAGTCACGTCTTCCAGGCATATAGCAGATGTCAGCTTAGCCAGAGTGGAGATGGGAGCATGAGGAGAAGCCAGGGAGAAGAGACAGGTAGAAGCAGCGCAAGAGTTCAGAAGCCGGGATTTTGTACCATATATTTTAAGGTTAGAGAACCTCTGGCCAATCAGATGTAGCCTCCGTAGGCTTCGGTATAGGATGGAATCTGTCTGCCATGAGTGGACTCCTACTCATGGTGACCTCACATGTGTCAGAGTAGAACTGTGCTCTCCAGGGTTTTCAATGGCAGCATTTTCAGAAGTAGATCTCCAGGCCTTTCTTCTGAGGCACCTGTGGGTGGACGTGAACTTGCAACTTTTCAGTTAGCAAGAGCGTGAATTAAACATTTGCACCACGCAGAGACTCCGTGGTGGGAACAAGGAAGGTTATGGGTGTGGATAGAGTACAGGTGATGGAGGTAGAACAGCTGGGCAGGTAATTGTGCCGCTTAAGGGGGCAGCTTCAGCTGGAGAGAGCACACACGTTATGGCAGGTCGTTTGTGCTCCTGCGTCACCTTCTGTGGACCTCAGCCTCACGGTCATGCCAGCCAGCACACGGGTACTTGGAGGGTGTGGGGGCCCCTGCACATGGGACTACCCAGCCTCAGGTTCATCCCATCGTGGAGGCCCAGTGTGGGCAGCTCCCGGCTAGAAGGCAGCTTTATGGTTCCGGATCCCTGGTTCCAGGCACACAGTGGGTACTCTGTGTGGAAATCCCTCAGCTGCGTGATGGATTCCCAAGTTCATGCCTGAGGCTCTGCAGGGAAGCTGGCCAAAGAATGCTGAAAACTCACCATGCTGTCAGCTGCTAGGAGGGCATCCCCTCCCAGAGCCCCAAGGTGGCAGACTGTGGATCCACCTGTCTTCATCCTTCCCTTCCCAGCTCTGCATACACTTGGGGTGGGGCCGGTGCTGCCCTTTGGAAGCTCTGAGCTTGCTGTCCTTTGCAGGTACGTGCAGTTCCTCAGTGGCCTCCTGTCTGGGTCAGTGAAAATGAACGCCTCTCCGCTGTTCCTGCATTTTGTCATCCTGCACGGCATCCCCAACTTCGACACAGGTGGAGGTGAGTGATGGCAGGCAGCGGTGGTGTCGGGGTTTCCCATCCCTGGTGCGGTGACGCTCCTGGCTCTGGATTGAAGCAAGCCTCCCCGCTCCCTTGAGGACCAGGAAGGTTATATGTTCCCTAGTGGTTGTAGTACTTTGCCGTGGACCACCACCCTGTGGGCAGAGCAGTGTCTTGGTCTGATGAGGCTGACTTGCTTCAGAGAACAGGTGTTCAGTGAGGTGGGCTGAAGCGTCCTTTTCCCCCGGTGCTCTGTGGTGACATCTTGGGCCAGCAGCACAGTTGGGTTCTGAGAGCATCCCAGCAGGGGAGAGACCTGAACCTACCCAGTCATCTCGATGACTCTTCTCCCAAGTCACATCAGACACCTCATCTCCGGATGCCCCTTCTGTAGTAACCCGAGAGGAGAACACATGCTGCAGCCCACGGTCCCTTTATGCCCCGAGCTCTGGGCTAGCACGTGCGGGCTCCTTGCCTCCTAACGCCTCTTCCCTCTGCTTGCCACACTCCTATGTGTTCTTTGCTGTCGGACACTGCCCAGGCTTCAGGTGTCTGACAGCTAACCACCTCTCTTGCAGTGTGCCGGCCCTTTCTGAAGCTCTACCAGGCCATGCAGCCTGTGTACACGTCGGGGATCTAGTAAGTGTATTCTGATCCCTGGGGGTGGTGGGGTGGACCCCAGCTGCTTCTCCCGCAGGGTGGGGGTGGGCTGAGACAGCTGGTGGGGAGCACAGGGAGAGCTAGCAACCACGCCTTCCTCCTGACCCTGAGGGAGGCTTGTTGCTGTCACTCCAGACCATCAAACGTGCATGGTTGCTGGGGCTTCAAGGGAAGAGAGGGCCATTTGCCTTTGGGAGTGAACATATTGCAAAGAGTCCTGTGACAAGGACTGGTTGCATTTTTTCTCTCTTCTTTGGATTTTAGACACTGGGTTCCCTCACATACTAAGCATTTGTAGGGATTTCTGGGGTTTTTTTGTCTTTATTGTTTGTTTTTGAAAAAAACATTCTGTGGGCACAAATGGAGAGCTAATAAAGGTAAAAAATGCTCCCATCATAGCACCACCACTTGCAGCGGCTCGTTTCCAGGCTTCTGGATTTGCTCTGGACTCTAAGTGTTAGTGCCGCATTGCCCTGGGGGCTTCCTGCAGCAGTTACAGCAGCCTGCACGCTCCACATCCCAGGGCTGGGCCGATCCGGGTCCCTCAGGCCACCGTCCACCCTGGCTAACGCTGCCCGACCCTCCCTGGCCTGCTCACTTTTTCTGCCTTTTTGCACTCATTTCCATAGACTAGACTCTTAGAGGTTGGATTATTGAGCAAATCAGGATGTGTTGTGCAGTTGCTGAGTTTTCAATTGTAGTGTTGCTTTTCTCAAAATGTTTTCTTCCCATTACCTCACGCACTTGCACACTTGTTTATCCCAAAGCACCGTCAGCCCCGAAAACCAGAGCAGGGTCTGCATCGCCATCGAGCCAGCGCAGCTCCTGAAGGGGGACATCATGGTGAGTGTCCCCGCGTCTGCCGGGGCTGCCCTGCCCGCTCAGGGACGACGGCGCAAATTTTATCTTAAAACAATGTCCCTCCCTTACGAAAAAAGCCCATAGGAAGAATGAAAGGTAACTTTACTGTAGGCATTTGGTTAATTTCCCAACCACTTTAATTAAAGAGACGGAACAAATCTTTGTCCTCGATTCTCTTTCATTGTACAGCCATTATGTGAACTTGCAATTGAAGTCCTAACCGAGCCACAGAGCATCTGAGGGCTCTCACTTCCTGTTCATATTTGCAATTTTCACATGATAACAAGACTTGCAGGGCGTAGGTATAGGAGTAAAATATTTATTTATCATTAATAGCGAAAGGATGAAATGCAACTAGTGTACTTACAGCTTGGCTAATGATCCAAACAGCTTTGATTCTTGGGTAATTTGGTTCTTGGCTGAGATTAGCTGCTAATTTTTTACCTTTCATGTATGTTGAAAGTAGAAAAGTTCATAATTTTCAAATAATATTAGGACAGATTTTGTCTGAAATAAGGAAAACCTTTATGGCAAATATTTACTGCTTTCAGCATGCATGTTGTTGTTAGGTGCTGTCCGGTCGGTTCTGACTTATAGCAGCCCTGTGTACAACAGAACAAAACACTGCCTGGTCCTGCAGCATCCTCACAATTGTTGCTTTTTGAGCCCATTGTTGCAACCACTGTGTCAATCCATTTCTGCAAGTGTCTTCCTCTTTTTTGCTGATCCTCTGCTTTACCAAAGCATGATATTCTTCTCCAGGGACTGGTCCCTCCTGATAACATGTCCAAAGTACGTGAGATGAAGTCTCACCATCCTCGCTTCTAAGGAACATTCTGGTGGTACTTCTTCCAAGACAGATTTGTTTTTCTGGCAGTCAGTGGTATGTTCATTATTCTTTGCCAACATCATAATTCAAAGGCATCAGTTCTTCTTTCGTCCAGCTTTCACATGCATATGAGGTGATTGAAAACACCATGGCTTGGGTCAGGCGCACCTTATTCCTCAAAGTAACATCTTTGCTTTTTAACACTTTAAAGAGGTCTTTTGTAGCTGATTTGTCCAATGCAATATGTCCTTTGATTCCTTGACTGCTGCTTCCATGGGCATTGATTGTAGATTCAAGTAAAATGAAATCTTTGACAATTTCAGTGTTTTCTCCATTTATCATGTTACTGCTTATTGGTCCAGTTGTAAGGATTTTTGTTGTCTTTATGTTGAGATGTAATCCATACTGAAGGCTGTAGTCTTTGATCTTCATCAGTAAGTGCTTCAAGTTCCCTTTGCTTTCAGCAAGGTTGTGTCATCTGCATATGGAAAGTTGTTAATGAGTCTTCCTTCAGTCCTGATGCCACGTTCTTCCTCATATTGTCCAGCTTCTTGGATTATTTGCTCAACGTATAGATTGAATAAGTATGCTGAAAGGATATAACCCTGACACACACCGTTCCTGATTTTAAACCAAGCAGTATCCCCTTGTTCTGTTTGAATGACTGCCTCTTGGTCTATGTACACGTTCCTTATGAGCATAATTAAGTGTTCTGGAATTCCCATTCTTCACAATGGTATCCAAAATTTGTCATGCTACCTCCAGAAATGGTTGAACGTCGACCAGTTCTTTTTAGTACAGTGACTCTGGGTATTCCTTCCATCTTCTTTTGATGCTTCCTGTGTCATTCAATATTTTGCCCGTTGAATCCTTCAATATTGCAACTTGAGGCTTGAGTTTTTTCTTCAGTTCATTCAGCTTGAGAAATGGTGGACGTGTTCTTCCATTTTGGTTTTCTAACTCCAGGTCTTTGCACATTTCATTATAATACTTTGTCTTCTCAAGCCGCCCTTTGAAATCTTCTGTTCAGCTCTTTTACCTCATCATTTCTTCCTTTCCCTTTAGCTGCTCTATATTCAACAGCAACTTTCAGAGTCTCTTCTGACATGCATTTTGGTCTTTTCTTTTTTTCCTGTCTTTTTAATGACCTTTTGCTTTCTTCACATAAGATGTCCTTGATGTCATTCCACAACTTATCTGGTCTTTGGTCATTAGTGTTGAATGTGTGAAATCTGTTCTTGAGATGGTCTCTAAATTCAGGTGGGATATACTCAAGGTTGTATTTTGGCTCACGTGGACTTGCTTTGATTTTCTTTACCTTGAGCTTGTATATGACCAATTGATGGTCTAGTCCACAGTTGGCCCCTGGCCTTGTTATGACTGATTATATTGAGCTTCTGCATCATCTCTTTCTACAAATGTAGTCGACTTGATTCCTGTGTATTCCATCTGGTGAGGTCCACGTGTATAGTCACTGTTTATGTTGTTGAAAAAAGGTATTTGCAATGAATGGATCACTGATATTGCAAAATTCTATTATGTAATCTTCCTCATTGTTTCTATCACCAAGGCAATGTTTTCCAACTACTGCCCTTCTTTTTTGTTTCTAGCTTTCGCATTCTAATCACCAGTAATTATCAATGCATCTTGATTCATGTTTGATCATTTTCAGACTGTAGAAGTTGATAAAAATCTTCAATTTCTTCATCTTTGGCATTAGTAGTTGGTTCATAAATTTGAATAATAGTCACATTAACTGATCTTCCTTGTAGGCTTATGGATATTACCCTATCACTGACAGTGTTGTACTTCAGGATATGTCTTGAAATGTTCTCTTTGACAATGAATGCGACGCTGTTCCTCTTCAATTTATCATTCCCCAGGTATGCATAGAATACTGTACATATAATCTTTAAATAGTCTTTGTCGTCCTTCTTTAATAAGAAAGTAGGAGTGTTCAGGAGTTACCTTTTTATTTTATTATAGATGACTTTTTCAAAGTTTTTGAGGATTTTCATTTACTTCCCTAAAAATTTGGGTTTTAAAATCCTTTGGTAATGGATGGTGAACTTCTTCCTCCCCTATTCTGAAATCCCACAAATACCTAGTGAGTGAGATCCATAAAGATGAAGATCCCATGTCCTCAGTCATAAACTCAATGCCCCCTAAGGAAAAAGACCCCCTTCCCCACTCCTTCCCCTTGTAGCCACTAATAATATTTAGTTTCTGTATATTTGCTTATTTCATATAAGTGAGATTATACAGTATTTGTCCTTTTGTGAAAGACTTATTTCACTCAACATAATGTTTTCAAGGTTCATTCAAGTTGTAGTGTGTATCAGGATTTCATTTCTCTTCATAGCTGAATAGTATTCCATTGTTATCCATTCATCTGTTGATGGACATTTTGGTTATTTCCACCTTTTGGATACTGTGAAAAGTGCTGCAGTGAACATTTTTTGCATTCCCTGAAGAATGGAGAGGCCCATGGGGAGCCACAGGGACTAATTGGCCTTAGAGGTACCCAAGTCTGAGTTCTAGCCAGGTCTACCACTTAAACAGAGTCTGTGTGGCCTGAGGCCAGTCACTCAGGGTCTCTGAGCTTGAAGTTCCTCTTCTGTAAAGTGAGGGTCATACTTTGGGTCTTGTGAAGATTTAATGAGTTAATGCACATAAATCTCTTAGGACAGCACCTGGCAGAGGGTAAAGGTCCAGTTATCATGGGTTTGGGTCATGGTCATTATCATTTTTGTCCACCAGGCCAGACTGTGGCTTGGCCTCCAGGTGGCCACCTGCCTCTTCCTTCTGGGCTGGTGATGCTCTAAAAGAACCCCTGAGTAGCCCCCCAACACTGGTGTCCAGCCAACCTTCCTGTCTGTAGCCCTGTCATGCACCACCCACTCCCCGCCACCACAGTTGCTGTACAAGCCCAGCCTCTGCCGCAGCTGAGTGCTCCCCTGATGGCTTCCCAGGCGAGAAGCAGCTCCTCGGGGGGTACACACCACCGGAGTCTGAGCTCCATCACAGCATCTGGGGTGCGGCTCTGCCAGATGGGGCAGGGGCTCTTTGGAGGGGACGTGGAGTAGGAGGGAAGCTGTTTGGCCTTGGTTACAAGGAGGCCAGTCTAGGAATGCAGTGGGGCAGGTGGAGAGGAGGCATGAGTGGGCGAAGGCAGCGTCCACTGCCACGTGTGCCTGGACTTGGCTGTGATGTCTCCCCATGACTGCATGTCGTTCCTGGGTGAAACCCCTTGGCATTAGGGGCAGTGTGAAAGCTGTGTGCTGCACAAGCACGGGAAAGCTCGGTTCCTGGGTATTTGAGGGCAGTGCTGCCCCAATTGTCTTTAGATAAAGGATGGTGCATTCTGGGCACCTGGAAGCCACATGAAAGGTGCCTCATCGTGTGGCATCGGCCCGTGGTTGTTTCCAAATGTATTATTTATAAATGGCATTTTCTCCGACAGCTACACAGGCCATTCACTGTAGGGTCTGGACGTTTCCTGGTCCTTCTTTGCTGCCCTCATGAACAGTTAATTTCAATATGACAGGAAGTTTGAAATAATTATTATTTGGACCTTCTGAGAAATTTCACGTCCACCTCAAAATGATGAATCTCCTGAATGCTGAGCAGAGACATTCTAAGTGTGAGCTGCAGGTAAAGAAATATCTCGCCAGCCTTTGTGAAGTCCCTGCTGTTTGGCTAGTACAGAATGAGGTGCTGCAGGCCCATGACAAGAAGACACTGGCTCAGGTTGAAGACACAAAGACAGGCAGCTGTTGTCCTAAGGAGTTGGTCTAGTCATTGGGGTGCTGTGCGGATCCCCTCTTTTACAGCACTTGGGGACTCATGAGGTCCTGAGTGGGGTGTAGGGTCTTGGGACTCTGTGTAACAGTTACTGCAGACAGCGTAGTCAAGGGGAAAGAGGTGCTCGTAGTTGAGGAAAGAATAGAGAATCCGGGGCTGCAAGAGTAGAAGGAAGCAGCAGGTTCCTGTGAGAACACAGGATGTAAAGAAGAACATCAGGATTGGAGAGCCAGGAACAGCTGACATGAGGAACATGTTAGGAAACACACGGCCAGTTCCAGGGGCGCGTTAGGAGCCTGCTCTAACCGTGAGGTGTGGGCACGGGCCTGGCCTCTCACAGGTGAAGAAC